GGTTGAAACCCAATTCTTTCTTTCTTCCAAAGAGTATAATCAAAATGCTGTCTCTAAGTGGTTCCTTCACTGCCTGAGAGAATCTGTTATCTGCCTTTTTTCTCCAGAAAAGGTTTTCCAGCAAGTGCTCTTGGTGAAAAGACTTTGACAAAGTCTGGGAGACAAGACTGATGCCCGACCGTAAAGCTGTGTGAAATTCAGCAGCCCAGCCGCATCCGCAGCCGCCCCTGCCGTCCGTCACCGCCCACGGCTAATGAAACACAGGTAGCTTCTCTCCACCCGTCCCATCGATCGCGCTCCACGCTCGGTCTGTAAGCAGCTTTTCCTTTGAGTTGTGGGCCATGGGAAAAATCTGTTCACAAAAAAGTATTTGAAAGTCTTCTCCTCTGTGGCCCCAGAGCAAGCTGAAGCACTTCAAAGCAGTGACAGCCGCCCCAGAAGGAGAGCTTTGGAGTAAAGGACCCGCCTGAGACGGAAGGCCAGGCGGGCACACCCCGCGGGAGGCCCACGACCTCTGGGGCCTCAGGGTTGGCCATTCCGCTCCCGTCCTGAGGCAGAGCAGACTCATCTCTAACTATACTTTAAGCACACGCCTGACAGTCCAGCATGCTTTTTGGAGGATGCTATAAATTTCAACTCAGAGAGCAAAAAGAGAACCACAGTGTTTGGTGACTGGTAAACTTTGGTGAGTGATGGCAAGATTGTAAAGAAAGTCTTTCAAACCCCGTCCAGAATCAAATGCAAAAATAGCGATGCCCCAAAGGTACGCTGAGGACCCCCTTCGACAAAGGAGAGTGTCTTCTGGTCACGAAATGGCCATGCTCATCAATTTTCTCTCTTGCTCCTGTGTTTTATAATCTTTTATTGTTCCAGCAAAGACCAAAGCAAGCCAGAGGAAATTTAAGTCAGTTACATGGTCCCAGGATCACACCTGGAGAGATGATATGAAGGTTGGATACACTTCTTTGAGGTCACAGGAGTCACCTTAGGCTTTGACCTTCAGCCAAGTCCACCCCAGGCCCCCCTAACTGAAAGACACTACCCCCCACCCTGCAACAGGAATCAACAGAGTGTTTCCATAATGGGTCTCAACCCTGGTGCACATGAAGAGTTGCCTGAGCTTAAAGAATTATCAAGATGGAGTCCCAGATCCCAAGGGTTTCTATTCAGTTGTTCTGGGGGTGGACCTAGGCAATAGTTATTTTTATTATTTAAAATTAATTTTAAATAATTTTTATTAAATGCTGCAGAGCCAGCCTAGATGACAGGGGAGTTTGGGGGAGAAGGGATACATGTGCATGTATATGTAAATGTGACTGTTTATGAATATGTATATATATGGCTGAGTCCTTTTGCCATCCACCTGAAACTATGACATTATTAATCAGTTATACTCCAATATAAAATAAAAGGTTAAAAAATAAAAATGCCCCAGAGCAAGTGGTTTGAAGAGCATCAGAACAGGAAGAAAATGAAGCCTCAGCAGGCTTGCTTAGAGACAAGCCGGTGATGCACGCTGAAGGGACGTGAGCGCCCACTCACGCCAACCCCAGACTGGGCGCATTTCTCAGACGGAGAAGAGAGGTTCCAGCTCCCCCCAAACCAACCCTGGACACATTGAATCGAGATGTGGAGACTGGTCACTCACATGACCACAGGTGCATACGAACGAGCAGAGAGGTCACAGTAGGGACTGTGTGGACACAGAAGCCAGGCCTGGTCCAAGGGGAGCAGGAGAGGAGCCTCAGGCTGAGACAGCGGGCCAGGAGGACATTTCCCAGATGGCCCAGTTCTTCAGGAACTCTATGAAATCTCTTATTGTTTCAACATTGGCTCTTCTTTCTTTCAAACACAGGGCCAGCAAGAGAAAGGTGTCTCTGGGCCCTGGCATTTGTGGCACAGCTTCTGGTCCCCGGAGCTCCTGGGGGGTAAGCAAACCCCTCCTGAGAAGCTCTCTCTCTGATCAGTTCATCAAAGCCTCTTTCTCAAGCATCTGTCCTAAACATAAAAGTGTGACACGTTGCCTAAAACTCCATCAATTGGATTTGCGTTTGTATAGAAGGAAAACTTTTTAGCTTGACAGTCCTCTCGTACCTTAGACTGTGTCAGTTCATTAGGGTTCACACTGAGGGACACAGAGACTGTGAGATGATGCTGAGAAAGGACAGGTTATTTTGCCACTGAAGCATCGCTAGGAGGGGGACAGCTAGGAAGTCTGGAGGCAGCAGGGGGATCCAAGGGGAACTGGCTGGGACCTGGAGACAGCAGCAGACTTGTCTCTTGAGAAATGAGAAACTGGCCTTGAGAAATGGAATATTCCCTGCTATAGTCCCAGCCATCAGGGATCCTAGCCCCCCCAGGGGAGGAGACCAACACCTGGGAGCTGGTAGGCACTAACTAGGCTGCAGCCATGCCCTCCAATCAGCGCTGAGGAAAAGCATCGGCTCCTGGCTCCAGACAGACGCAGGCATAGGGATGTTTCGTGAACCCAGACTTGGGCATCTTCTATGCATAGAAAAGCACTAAATTCCTTAACTTGAGATATCTGGTTTTAATTCACAAAAATACTTTTGATGCCCAGACTACCTGCACTTTGTTGCAAACTTCTATGTAACCTGACTCCGGACCTGCCTCACCCCCCAGCCCTTGGGCCATCTCCTCAGGGCAGGTCTTTCAGAGTACCTTGAGATGCTGTCTCCTGGACTCGAAGTCCTAAACATTCCCACCAAATAAAACATAACTCTCAACTTTTAAGTTGCAATTGTTCTTTAAAGTCAACAGCATTAACAGAAAGGAAGCCAGAAATAATAACATCGGGCTACATAAATAAACATGTCCCTGCCTTCCTGGAATTTACATTTTTGAGGAGGAAAGAGACCACATACAAATAAATATATAACATGTCCAGTGTGTGTGAGAGAAGAGGAAGGTGATGTCGTGTGCAGCGGCGTGGAGGCAGGGCCCCAGGAGTCCCTGCAGAGACACCATCCTTGACCCTGAGGGAGACAGGAAGGCGATGCAGACTTTGCGATGGATGAATCACATCTGATACATTGGGAAAAGATCACCCCGCACTGAAATGTCGCAAATATGCTATAGGGGCCAATGGTAGGAGCTGGAGGTTCAGCTCAGAGACTAGTGCAACCATCTAAGCCACAGAGAACATCTCCAAAACCAACTCAGGTTTTTGCTGGGAGAATGTAGGGAAACGCAGATTAGGGAGGTGAAGATGACACCAGACTCAGCTTAACCACCTTGCATTAAACTGGATATTAACGCCTGCCTTAAGCTACTGCCTGGAGCTAAGAGTCAAAGGACTGCTACCTTCTCCACCAAGCCCATCTTAAGGAAAAGAAATTTCTCCACTCTGTGTCCCAGGGGTCGAGGGGTGGAGGAAGTCAGGATAGTAAAGAGAGAATGATAGCTTTTACTGTGTTAACAGCCAGCAAATGTGTGAGTTATGGGTAACAATTAAGTCCTAATTGGCCATAATGTAAACCTCTTCTGAATGGATGTGGTAAATATTGAAACAAACGAGCTGCTATTTTTCAGACCTGGATGGCAGTCAGTCAGAATGAAAAGCTAATTTCAGCCTTGGAGGCGAACTCTGTATTTTAATCAAGTGTGACAGAGTGGGAACAATAAATTGGCATTTAAGGTGAGGGACTATTTACTTCCCTGTTGCAATGCTAGTGATGATAAGTCACACTGCCCCTTTGCAAAATGAAAGCAAGCTCGGCTTTGATTCAGAGCAGGAGAAAACACCTGGGGAACGGCCAAGGTGGAATTCAAAGACAGCTGAGTGAGGAAGGCAAATGACCCGCCTTCCCAGACGTCCTGCTGGGACGGGGTTGGGGGCAGGGGCGCGGGGCGGGGAGGGAGGAACATCCTGCTGATTCAGAGCAGGACCTCGCCCACCCTGTCCTCAGCCTGCCTTTCGCAAGGAGTAAGTTCAATCAGAGAAGTTAGAAAATACAGAAACGAAGAACAGTCAGAGGAGACCAAATAATAAGTCATTAAGCAAGGACCTTTAGTTCCTTCTCAATGGCTGTAGATAGCATTCTGAGCCCTACCCCATGAACTGTCTTAGACGCTAAATACCAGGTGGAAGAAGGTAACTGCATGATGACGAGACTGTACCACGACGTAAGTGGCACATTTCTGAGAACTGGCCTCCAGGAAGTGGAACCAAGTGGCCCTGAAACTGAAGACTAACCGGACCTGACACAGTCAGACGACGCCAGTCAGACCACCGATGCCTGGTTTCAAGATGATCGTCAGAGCTGACCGCTGTTTCCACGTGTAGCCACCTGCTTCCCTCTGTCTGTAAAAGGTCTTGCCCACTGACTATCAGCGGTGGAAGGGCGAGGGGGCACGTGTCAGCCTTTGGACAGATGTCCGCCCCCCACCCCAGTAGCTGGCATCCAAAATAAATCAACTTTCCTTTCCACCAGCCTGGGCCTCTTCCATGGCTTCTGAGTGGTAAGCAGCTGGATCCCACTTGCAGCTACAAGACTATTCGGCTGTCCTCCGTAATCAAAAGTTTATGCTGAGAATCATGGAAATAAAGGGGTATGTGTGCACGCGCACCTGTGCACAGTTTACCATCCCGCAACCCAACCTCAAAATCTACTTATTAAGGATCTAGAATAGTAATTTAGTAATTAATTTGTTCAAGAATTATTAGTGAGGTGCCAGTTATGTCTAAAGCCTTGTTCTAGGCACCAGGGAATCAAAAGCAGACAAAACATATAGAGTCCCTTCTGCTGAGTAACCTACATTCTACTGAAAATAATAACAACTGGGCTTCCCTGGTGGTCAAGTGGTAAAGAATCCGCCTGCCGATGCAGGGGACACAGGTTCGATCCCTGGTCCAGAAAGATCCCACAGGCCACAGAGCAGCTAAGCCTGAGCGCCACAGCTGCCGAGCCTGCACTGCAGAGCCCGGAGCTCAGGGACCGAGTCCAGCGCTGCAGCATCTGAAGCCCCGCCCCGCAGCCATGCCCCTGAGGCCCCGCCCCGCAGCCGTGCCCCTGAAGCCCCGCCCCGCAGCTGTGCAACTGAGTCCGCCCCGCAGCCGTGCCCCTGAGGCCCCGCCCCGCAGCTGTGCAACTGAGGCCCCGCCCCGCAGCCGTGCCCCTGAGGCCCCGCCCCGCAGCCGTGCCCCTGAAGCCCCGCCCCACAGCCGTGCAACTGAGGCCCCGCCCCACAGCCCTGCCCCTGAAGCCCCGCCCCGCAGCTGTGCAACTGAGGCCCCGCCCCGCAGCCGTGCCCCTGAGGCCCCGCCCCGCAGCTGTGCAACTGAGGCCCCGCCCTGCAGCCGTGCCCCTGAGGCGCCGCCCCGCAGCCGTGCCCCTGAGGCCCCGCCCCGCAGCCGTGCAACTGAGGCCCCGCCCCGCAGCCCTGCCCCTGAAGCCCCGCCCCGCAGCCGTGCCCCTGAGGCCCCGCCCCGCAGCCGTGCCCCGCAGCCAGGGGGGCCAGGGCAAGAGAAGCCCGTGCGAGGCCGCGAGAGAAAAGCCTGCTCACAGCCAGCAGGGAAACTGCATGGGCGACAGAGACCCGGGGCGGAAATGAAGGCAGAAAGTTAGAAAGAAGGAAACAAGGTGACCACAGCCTACACCTCGCGTCTGCCTCAGGAAGTCTGCGACCGTCTAAGTGTGTTCGTGGCGCCACTTTACTGTCTCCAGTATATGGATGAGCAGCTGGGGCGCAGAGAGGTCGGGCGAGGAGTCCCCGCGGTCACACAGCCCTGGCTCCTGGAACCGAGCCAGGGCGCCAGGCCGTGTCCCCATCCAGCTCGCAGTCTAGAGGGAAAGGCAGCGTTAAAGGAGGGATTCCAGGCATCACAGCTTTCACCGCTGCATAGGAGCCGCGCGGGGAGGCGGGTGGGGGGAGGTCCTAACCCAGCTGAGTGTTTCTGTCCTGGCCTCGAAGGCATTTGCCTGTTTTCCCAGCTCACGTGTCTGGCAGGTTTGAGGACAACAGTTGGCTCTGTTCTTTAGAAGACTGGGGGTCTGGGATTCAGAGTTCCCTTTTCCATGTTCATTGTAGCCTTCCTCCCCTCAAGCGGGCGGGGCTGAGCATGGGAGGGTGACGTGGACATTTTCGAACACATTAAACTTCTTGAGCCACACGGTGTACATAATTTATACCTGTAATGTTCTAAAGATTTCATATCTTCTGTGAGTCCCTCCATATAAATTATTTATGTGTTTTAATATTTCAATAAAGCCAGTAGGTTCATGTTGCTCTGAACCACTCATTCTAATACTCAAGAAAGAAAATCAGCTTGTAAAATATTTGCTTTATTAATCTGAACACATTGAGGGGATATTCTTAATTGTTCAGGGTTTAAGGGTATGATTTGAAAAATGAAAAGAAAAACTCTTTCAGTCCCTGAAGCCTTAGGTACTTTACCGGATGACCTGGGGCAACGTCCCCCTATAACCCCAGCAGCGAGAGATGCAGAGAACTCTCCTAAATGCTTACTCGGCATAGCGGACAGACTCATGGACACTGGCGGGGGCAGGGAGGAGGGGTGAGAGGCGGAGCACACACACCACGTGTACAACAGACGGCCAGTGGGAATTTGCCGTGTGACTCAGGGGACTGCACCAGGCTCTGTGACATCCTGGAGAGGAGGGGAAGGGCGGGAGAGGGGAGGGGGCTCAAGACGGGGCACACATGGACACCTACAGCTGATCCATATGATGCCTGGCAGAGATGAAACCACTATTGCAAAGCAGCTATCCTTTAACTAAAATTAAATAAAGTTTTAAAAAATATTCGCTTCCTAAATAAGCTTTGCTAACTACCCGACAAAAGAATGGTAAACTTTCTCACTTTAGTGGAGACAGTAAGGACACAGTTGAAACTCCCAAGTTTCAGACCGCATTCTTTGAAGGTGTTGGTTGGTGATCTTTCAAGCTCCACCCAGAAGCACAGAGTCTGAGTTCGTTTGGTCAAATCATCAACGTATTTGGTAACTTATTTATTCCCTCTGTTTCTCAATAAGTGGGGGTAATAATTGCATCCATGTCATTAAGCTAATATCAAAGTTCAACTGGTCAGTATAAAAACACCTAGAATAGCACTTGACATGTAGCAAGTATAAGCTGCCATGCAGTTGCTGTTATTCATTTCACACAAATTATTGAATCCCTACTGTACTCTTTCCCACCCGTGAGGGACACACAACAGATAAGACAAGACCTCCATCCATCACGACACCTTCTTGTAGAGAAAACAGACAGCAAATAAACAAGATAAATTTCGGCTTCCCGCAACAGTCATGATGAAAGTAGAAAGGGCTGATGGGAGAGGATGCCTCCTGGGGTTCCCTCAGCTCAGGGGGAGCAGAGACACCTCCCTCTGCAGGCGACATTGGAGGTGGCCCCTGAGCAAAGAAGGATCTGGCCAGGGGAAGACTCAAGCGTGATCAGGGAACAGGGAAACGAATCCTGCGCTCTTGCCGAACACGTCAGCTTCTTAAGGGGCCAGAAGGTCGCTGAGCCTGGGGAGGCGGAGCAGAGCTGAGATCCCAGGGGAGAGGGACCACGCCCAGCCAGGCCCGAAGAGGAGATGCTGGCTCCTCTCTCCACCGCAGTGGGACCTTCGCTGCAGTGCTGCAATGCTTGCACCTGGGACACACTGCTCCTCCAGCAAGAGAATGCAAAGAAATGGGCTGGGACTAAAAACAATTGCCTGCAAGCAAAGTTGGGGCAAATTATGGGCAAAAGATACAAAGAGACCAAAAAACACCCCGACTGACATTTTGAGGAGACTGGAGCAAAAGCAGGGTTCTGCGCATGCCCCCTGTACACACACCTCCTAAGCCACCCTGCCCTCCATCCGGGACGCCACCCACACCCCCGGCCCCGCGTAAGGAATAAGTTCGCTGTCGCCTCAGGGAGCGAACGAGGGAGCCTGCTGCTCGTTCTCTTCCTGCTGCTGCAGGGGGAGCCCCGATAAGCCTTACCTGAATTTCTAGTCTGGCCTTTCGTCAATTTCTATTGATTATGGAGGCCAAGAACGCGATCAGTAACAATATGGGAAAGCCACTGGGATCATAGGAGCTTGGAAATAACATCCTTTTAGCTATCTCCTGGGCTTCCCAGTGGCTCAGTGGTAAAGAATCCGCCGGTCAGTGCAGGACACCTGGGTTTGATCCCTGGGTTGGGAAGGTCCTCTGGAGGAGGAAATGGCAACTCACTCAGGTATTCTTACCTGGGGAATCCCATGGACAGAGGAGGCTGGCGGGCTACAGTTCATGGGTCGAAAAAGAGTCAGACACAGAGATTAAACAACAACAAACCTGTATCTTAAAAGACGCCCCTGACTACAGTTTGGAACCATGTGTCCAGTGAGCAGTGAACACGTCTTTCCTAGAAACCGAGGAGAAGAGTGGGGGGGATTTACTGGGAATGTGAATTTCACAGGTGTCAGAGTTGGAGGAGACCTTGCAGGAAAAAGTCCACCATCCTCTTTTCATAGAGAGAGGAACACACGTCTCCCCATACATCAAGCTCAGACTTGAGAGAAACATCGATTGCTTTTCAGAGCAGGTGCTGAAAAAATTCAAGGGGAAGCTTGAGCGTGGAAGCTGCACCTGTGCTTCAGAAATAAGACCCTTACTGGTTCTTTATGACCCACAGACACGTTGGTGCTTCTCCCCGAGTCTCCCTGAAATAATCCTCCAGCCCGTCATCCTGCTCACTGGCGGGCAGGGCTGCAGACATGGGCCATGTGCAGGGACCCACCTGAGGGCAGGTAGGGGAAGGAAAGACAAATACATCCAGGAAACATGTCCCTAGATGAGGTGTGGGCACAAGGTCCCCACCATCAGACCTGCACGAGCATTCCAGCCACCCTTGGTCAGGGGGTCCTGACATCAGGTCTCCAAGCAGGAAAGACATGGTCTTCAGGAGAGGAGAAAAGAAAAGCGCACCCTGCGCTCTGCCGCAGGGCACCTGAGAAACCCGAGTGGCAGGTGGGACCTGAAGAGCCACGTGGCGGTGCCCGAGGCACGTCTTAATTTGTTACGTGGTTCCATTCCTCTCTTTCTCTAATGGTTCACTTAGCCAAACTTGGGACCAGAAAAAGATCAATCTTAGAAGATGCCCAAACTCTTTGGGAAATAAAATATGTTGGATTAAGTTGGTTAGAAATTAGTTGAGGATGGATTTTACTACTTAATTTACACTGTCTGGAAGACCACATAAATCCATGGCTGGAGTCCCCAGGAGGCAAATTAAGTATCTGGTTGAATCACCAGCAAAGTCAGAAGCATTCATGTGGGGGGTGGGGAATAAGAAATGGATATTTTACAATATTAAAAATCTAAATAATAATTGTGGGGAAAACAGAACTTTTGTAGGGCATTCATTCATGTGTGCATTACTTAGATTATTTTGAATTTCTCATGAAGTAGGAATTTAAGTCATAATCTCCCTAAGAGTAAGGATATTTAAAAGGCTTAGTCTAATGGCTGTTGTAGGGAGACCATGAGATGACAGGTGTAAAGTGCCTGGTTTATTCCAAAGACCTCGGATGTTAGTGAGTGCTCGTCCAAGCTCAGCACATCACCCAACGCCTTAGATGTATTTTCAGGTGATAGATTTAAGAGAGCTTTGGAAGCCATTATTTCGTTTGATTTTCACAACAAGCCTGTAAGGCAGTGTAGACCAAAAGGCTCTGACAATTGTTGGGTTTCTAATGACACATTAGAGTCACTTTAAAAACACAAACGTTCTCCTTCACTGTAGACTTTTTAAAAGGTGGGGGGTGGGGGAGCTTTCCTCGTGGCTCACTAGTGAAGAATCTGCCTGTCAATGCAGGAGACACAGGTTGGATCCCTGGTCCAGGAAGATCCCACATGCTGCGGAGCAACTAAGCCCGAGCGCCCCAACCACTGACCCCACGTGCTGCCACTGTGACGCCCACCCCTAGAGCTGCAGCGAGAGCAGCCTCCGCAAGGAGCCCACAGCCTGCGGCGGAGAGCACCCCACCCTCTGCGGCCAGAGAGGAGCCCAAGTGGCAGGGCAGGCCCGGCACAGCCAGAAACAAAGGTAAGAAAGTCTATATGGTCTAAGCGTTGATGGTTCTGGAAAGATTTGTCTGCTTTCCATTGAATCTGAGAAAACACGGGGAGATTATCTAACTTACAAAAAAGAACCGATCATTATCAAATCTAATTTTACCTGGAATCACTGCCCCATATTTCATTCATGAGTTTTAAATATTCTGTGTCCTTCTTTGTCTTGTTTATAAAGAAAAATGCTGCACATCATAGCACCTGAATAGGAAGATATTTTTAGGTCCATAGGATTGTTTCTTTTCTTTGCCAAATCTCTTGCCTAACTTATGATTCCTTTCATCAAGGCTGGGCCAGAAGAGATAGAGAATGCAGTTGGGGGAAGATAGAAATAGAGATCTATTTCACATTTTCCTTCTGAAAAAGGAGACTTAGCTTTCTGATTTCACAATAGGAGACAAAAACATTACCAACCTCATTACACAGACAGGTTTAGGTGATTTGCCCCAAATCCCACAGCCAGAACATATACTGTGAGGGGATATGAAGTCTGTC